TAACTGTTTCTAATTGAAAATGTCTCAGCTGAAATCTCTTAACAGATAACAGACTATGCAAAGAAAGACCTGTCTGAGGAGTGAGCACCACTGAACTCTGCAATCAGATGCGTGTAGTCAGTCTCACTTCCCAAAGGCCCCCAGGAGAATGCTGAGGATGTAATCAGATCCTTGTTGGCTCACAGTCACTGGGACAGCTAACGGTAAATGCCTTCTCTGATGCCGGGAAATGGAGCTCAGTTCAAGATGTTTCACTATTTTCAGTAAAAACTTTAAAATTTTTGACACTATAAGTGTACTGTGTTGCAGTGTTCTCCAAAACGATATGTCCAAGTCCTAACTCTTAACACTTGTAAACATGATCTTACTTGGGAACAGGGTTTTTGTAGATGTGACTAAATTAAGGATCTGGAAATGAAATCATCCTCGATTTGTGATATACTTTAAGTCCAATGAATGCATCGGCCTTTCCTTTTATGTACAGTGTTTTAAGGATCTTATAAATTGACAAAATTCTACTCTGACGAGAAAGGAAAGAAAGATTAGAAGAATCTATGAAAAGAGAAGAGACAGGATATGCTGCCACAAGCCACCAACACTTGGAGGAAGGTTCTCCCCTAGAGCTGAGGGTATGCCAATTCTGCCAATCATCTGATTTCGTAACTGTAAAAGAATAAACCACCATTGTTTTAGAGCACCTATTAATATTAGTTTATGGTAATTTATTGTAACTGTGTTTAGATTCCAATATTGCTTTGATCTAATGTCATTTAGAAACATTACAGCTTAACAATGGAAAACTGCAGCTCCCATTTTTATGGCCTACACAGGCTATTTCCAGCCTTCTTGAAATACATAGGCAATCCAGTGAAAAGCCCAGAAGATAATGAACTATGTGAAGCTGTACCAATTAATTACATAATCCATGACATATTAGGTCTGTTCAAATCATAGTGATAATGTGTAATCTGCTTTTAATATTTTTTTCCTCCAAGACAGACGTGAGCAAGGGGATCTCTGCAGCACTTGTACTCAAGCACTACAAAGTCACTCTGATTAGGTTAGGAGTCAGTTCAGTGGTATGTGCTCTTACCACTGCTCTTCACCTCTGCTGCATAAATCTGCAGACCTTCTTCATGATTGCTTCCAAAAAATAAAATCAATAAACATTTAAAATATTCTATTAGTACCATCCATATGTATATTGAAGTGGTTTTCAAGACATATTACCATTGCTGGCCACAGAAACCCATTCTCAATGCTTGCCAGCATCATTGATTTTGACAAACAAAACAGTAACAACAAAACCCATATTCATTTCAAACTCCATTGGAAACAGAAGGAAAAAGAATCAATGTTTACCAAATAAAAAAGGCCAGCCTGCACAGGAAAAAATGCCTTTGTGAGCTTCAAAGTAGGTAAACAATGAAAGTGAAAATCCTGAATAGCATGTGTCAAGAATGCATCAGCATTTCCTTTTCTGAAGAATGCTTTAAGGATCTTATAAATTGACGAAACAGAGAGATGGCTCAGCGGTTAGGAGCACTGCCTGCTCTTGCAGAGGACCGGGGTTCAGTTCCCAGCACCCACATGGCGACTCACAACTGTTTGTAACTCCAGAGGATCCGATGTCCTCTTCTGACCCCTGTGGGCACTGCAAGACATGGATGCACTTACATACATGCAGGCAATACACTCAATACACATAAAATAAAAAGAATAAATAAAATATTTTAAAAATAAATTGGCATAGTAATTCCATTATAGCTACTATTTGGCACATGGGATTAAGGTAGTCTTGTCTTAAAAAAAATGCACTGTTTGAAAAACAAAAGTTCCTATACTAATACAAAGGTCAATCAAGCTGAGTGTGGTAGCACATTTGGAATCCTAGCATTCAGAAGGCAAAGGAAGGAGGACCACTGCATGTTGGAGGGCAGCCTGGGCTACACAGTGAACTCCAGCCGTGACTACGTAGTGAAACTGTCTCAAAAAAAGAACTGACTGGGTCTATGGTAAATGGCTTCTGTCTCAATATAGTTATTAAAATAAATGGAGTGCTGGGTGTGGTGGTGCATGCCTTTAATCCCAGCACATGGGAGGCAGAGGCAGGAGGATCTCTGTGAGTTCAAGGCCAGCCTGGTCTACATAGCGAGTTCTGGCCAGCTGGGGCTACAGGGAGACCCTGTCTCAAAAAGATCAAAAATAAATGAATAATAAATGAATGAATAAATAAATTAAATAAATGGAAAAAAAGACTACAGTTATATCTGACTTTTCTAAAAACAAGTAACTAAAAATGTCCAATTTTACTCCTGTTGGATAACCAATACATTACGAGAAAAATTAAAAAGAAGGCATTCAATGCCAACCATTGTGAAATGGTGTTTCACAAATCAGGCAAGGGCACGATACAGCTGGATTATACAAAGTTTAAGTATAGGTCAACTGAGCCACATAACAACCTAAAACCACCAACCCCCTAGACTTGAGTCAGTCTAGTTCAGTTCAAAGCCTTAGTCTTTTAGGCCAAAGCTATAGTTCTCTTTGTTGCCAAGAATATGAAGTCAACAACGGACCTAATGCAACACTAGCAAGTCTAGACATTTTCTTCAGGTCAAGACAATGAATCCCAGTTGATCAAATTATCCTGGCAGGCAAGGGAGAAGACCCAGTCTATAAAGTGCTTGCCTTACTTACAAGCATCAGGACCAACTTGAGTTCAGATTCCCAGAACCCATCTAAAAAGCTGAGTGAAGTGGGGTGTGCCTGAATCCCAGAGATGGCAAGATTCGGGAAGTAGAGATAGGTGGATCCGCAGAAGTTCACAGGTCAGCTAGCTTGGACTACATAGCTAGACTCCTCCTGGTCAATGACTGGCCCTATTTCAAACAAAATGTAGAAAGCGCTTGAGGACGGACACCTAAGGTTGTTTACAATCTCCACAAGCATGTACACCATGTACACACACACACACACACACACACACACACACGTATGCACATCTTGGGTTAATCATTTTGCCATTTTAAAGCTATTTTGACAAAAATCTAAGTGAGAAGAATATTTGAAATGGAAGCCTCTCTAGCCTTAAAAGTTCAAAGACTTCCTCAAACAGGACCAACACTCACAGCCACACTCACTCCAAATTAAGAGATTCCCTTTGATGTGACTGAACACACATTACTAAGAAACCATCTAAGGAGGTGCAGAAAGAGGGTTGTTGTTCTTGCATTAAGCAACCAGTTAGAAGAGGTGATCATTACAACTCAATGCACTATCTCAGGGATGAAAAATAAAACATTGAGCTAGCAGAAATCCATGAAGTGCATCACTAAATGCTGCTAAATATTCGAAGCAGGCATTCCAAAAATGACAAGCAAAGTTTATAACAGGAGTTTGTTTTTCAATTAAACAACTTCTTCAGTATTTCCAACGTTAAAAGCACTGAAGCTGGATGTTGTGGTGTACACCTGTAATTCAGCTCTCAGAAGACTGAGGCAGCTCTCAAGTTCAATGTTTGCCTGGGCTACAGAGCAAGATCCTGCCTCAGAAAAACCAACCAAACAACCTTTTTGCTAATGCCAGTTGCTCCCTAAATATGTTGATTTTTTTTTTTCAAATTATTTGAGCTCTGTCCCATGGACCCCATCTTATCAATGTTGAAAGTATTTATGAAGCATTAAGTAGTTGCTCTTGAGATTAGCTAAAATTAGTTTTAAAAATTAAGGACATGTGCCATTTTAGCACTCAGAAAAATGAAAAGTGAACAGGTGAATACAATCTAGCATAAAACAAAAGCCTCGAAGCCTCTGGATTTTAAATATTCTGGTAACATACCACTTTTCTTTTCTCTCTTTTTTTTTTTGTCTTTTTGAGACAAGGTCTCCCTGTATCCCCAGCTGGCCTGTATCCCCAGATTAGCCTGCCTCTGCCCCCCAAGAACTGGGATTAAAAGCAGGTAGTACCATACCTGGCCAGATCAATTAATTTTTTAAACCATAAATACCAGTAATTTCTACTCTCCAGTCAAAGTACAAGTTTCCAAAGGAGAATAAATACAGAAACATAGCCATTTGGTGACCTGACATAGATCTTGAAAGGTAGTAAGATAAGGTATTAATTTAAGCTGAGGTCAGAGAACACAATTACTACCCATCTCTACCAAGACTTGCCTTTGTGGAACTTGAGTTCTTTTTATTTCAAAGAAAGGTAAATCAAGGCAGGCCTAGTGGTACATCATGTACAGTCCCAACTGGTGAGGAGTCTGAGGCAGAAGGATCCCTTGAGCCCACAAATTTGAGGCTAGCCTAAGAAACAGTGAGATCCCATCTCAAGCAAAAACAAAGAAAAGGTAAACCAATGAAAAACACTGCCCCGCACAGTCCTTTCATTCCAACACAAATAGAATGTTTCAGTCCTCAAAGCTAAAGAGATCATAAGGTTTGTCCTTAACAGTTTTCTATGTTCCTGATTGGATTAAAACAGCTATCAACTGCTAATGGCATGTTTGGGTAAATGACACTGGAGTGCTCTGTTACACTATTTCCTGGTGCCACTAATGCTTCCTGGAAATCCCTGAGTAGGTTTCAGTAAATAGTAGTCAAAGTTTTCCCTAGCTCTTTGACAACTATTACAAGCAAGATATAGAAAGAAATGTGAAAGACAAATAGTAAAATTATTTGAGATCTAGTAAAGAAAGCAGAGAAACTTAAAATCATGTCTCTGTGTCTTAGATTAAGCCCAAGTACAGAAGAGAAATCTGTTCTCAGGATTATCAAGAAGTATAGGTTGGAACTGTTTTCTCAAATTTAAGCCACACAGAGTACTCTGAAAATAACCCAATGGTCCCCAACTTAATCTCGAAATCGAGTCTCCTGTTCTTTTAATAGCTGGGTAAGAAGAAAAATAGCATTCCTTGCTAAACTGGTTAAAAGGGGGCAGGGGGCTGCAGCCTGGGGTACATGCCCCAGGTTGTACCTGCACCTGGCAGCCCTTACCTGAATGTCCGTGTCCTTCACAGGCTCAAGAGGTTCAAAGGTGGTGGCTGCACTCAGACTCTCCAATCTCTGGGAGATGTGGGATATATCAAGCCCTCGTGACCCAAGAAGAACGGACCTATAATGGAGATGGAGGACAGGAAGACAAGAAGGGGAAAGTAGCATTAGGGCATCTAATATATCACATAAAACACTAAAGAGTAATTTTCGTTCAAAGTCTCCTATCTCGGCATAGGGGTAGAAAGATAGAACGAGTGTTAGGGCTGGAAACTTTCTCTCTACTGTCCAGATGCTTTTATACCTTCTCATAAAGGTCTATTATCTGAAATAACAGATACAATACTGCAACTGGGAGTAAGTTATCCAAGTTCTGGTCATGCCTGAATTAGAGGGAGGGCCTCATTTAGAATAAAACAATGCCACTACCATAGGCTACGCAGTTCCAAACACTTTACAGAAAAGAAACCCATGAGGTACATACAATCACTCATCCTTACTTTTGGAGATGAGCAACTAAGGTGCAAAGACATTGGCCAACATGTCCAAAGTCACAATATCAGGACATGGCAGAGACAAGTAACGTGCAAGAGATCTAGAACACAAACTCTTAGCCACCAACCCATACTTAACAGTCTCTGAAAAAGAGCTACAGTAAAGTTCAGAATCTTGGAAACTTCAGGAGTAACCAAGTCCAAACATTAGCTGAAGAAACTAAAGGTCCTGGGCAGCTGATGATTTGCTCCAAGGCAGGCAAACTAGAAGCAAAGGCCAGTTCTGCATGGCTTGTCTTCAAACGTCAAATACCATGCTACTCCATCTTCAGGTTCCCACTCTCCTGCTCAACCAACAATATAGGAAGGAGGCTAGTATCTGACTAATAAATGCTTTTTTAAAAAAAAAATGTTTTTGTGGGCCGGGCATGGTGGCGCACGTCTTTAATCCCAGCATTTGGGAGGCAGAGGCAGGTGGATCTCTGTGAGTTCAAGGCCAGCCTGGTCTACATAGTGAGTTCCAGGACAGCTGGGGCTACAAGAAGTCCCTGTCTCAAAAAGACCAAAAAAAATAATAATAATAAAATAAAAAAAAATTGTGTGTATGTGGTATTGCCTGCACGTATGTTAAGTGCACCCATGTCATGCCATGCTTACAGAGGTCAGATCCCCTGGAACTGGAGTTACAGTTATGAGCTGCCATGTGGGTGCTGGGAATAAAATCTGAGTCCTCTGCAAGAAGAGACAGTGCTCTGAAGTGCTGAGCCCATCTCTCCAGCCCCCAATAAGTGTTTTTAAGGAGAAACAGGAATAATACTGTCTGTCAGCTTCATGTCTCCTCACCTGGCCAACAAAACAATGAATGAATTAAAAACTACAGTCCAGTGTCCTGGGGTTTCCCTTCCAAGTTACCGTAACAGACAGGCATCTAGCCTCTTCGTTCTACTAATTCTTAATAGTTATCTCTCTACCACAGTGCTTCTCAAACCTGGCTGCACGTCAGAATCATCTATACAACTTTCCTTCCAATGACCCTGATTCTGACTGCTCTTAGGCAAAAATGGGAATTATGGGTAAGAGTATAATGTTTCAGAACATTATAATCTTTACAGAATAATCTTTCAGAACAGCTCTACTGATAGGGATTTGCATACCACAAAATTCACCAGTTCCAGTGCACAATTGAGTGATTTTACTATACTTGTATAGTTATACAACCATCAACATAATCCATTTTATAAAATCTTCAGCACCCCAAAGAAAGCCCTGTCAAGAAGTGTGTCCTGTTTTTCCTTCCTGAGACCTTGGCAACCACTCGTCTGCTTCCTATCTCAACAGACACAGGTATTCTGAACAGTGCACGTGCACAGAGTACAGCAGCTTCTGTGACTGGCAGCTTTCCCTTAGTGTTATGCTTTCAAGACTCATTCATCTCTCTGGGGTATATATCAGGACTCCATTCTTTTTATTCCATGTGATGGCATACCACATTTTATGTATCCATTCATCAGTTACTGGACATCCGAATTGTTTCCGTTTTTTCACTGGTATGAAAAATGTTGCCATGAACATTTATACATAAATTTTTGGATGAATATTTACAATTCTTTTGGGTATATACCTAGGAGTAGAGCTGCTGGGTTAAATGGGAATTCTGTTCAGTCTTTTTAATTTTATTATATTATTTTTGTAAACAGGGTCTTACTCTGTAATCCTGGCTGGCCTGGAACTCACTATGTAAACCAAGCTGGCCTAGAAATCACAGAGAGGCACCTGCCTCTGCTTCCCAAGTGCTGGGATTAAAGATGTGCCATTATGCCTGACTTGCTCAGTCTTTTGCAGAACTCAGACTCTTTTTCAAAGTAGCCGTATCACTTTACATTCCCACTGGCAATGTACAATTCCCACATCCTCACCAACACTTGTCATTCTATTAACTACCCTAGCTGGTCTCCCCTTTCTGGTTGTTGCAGAAAAAACATTAATATACAAAGTTAAAACACTGAAGTTCTTTGGGCCTATCATTCACCTTCAGCAATCCTGTCTCATTTACCCTGCCTACCCTATTTCCCTACCACTATGATCACTGTGAAGTAGACTCAGGCTCATTTTTTTTTCTTATAATTTCTCTATGGACAAGTTTGGACGTGTCCCGTAAAGTAGTGTTATTCAAACTTAATTATGCATATGAATCACTTGCCTGGTTAAAATGCTGGTTTTGATTCAAAGCTCTGGGATGGAGCCTGATACTTTACATTTCTAGAAAGCTTGTGGTTGATGCTTAGGTTATTAATGTACAGACTACACTCAGACTAGCAAAAATTCAGTTCACAGAATGGGTTTTAGTGTTGAATCCCCATGATCCCACTGAACAGGTTTGTCTGTCCTGTTGCCTATAAATTCAAAGTGGGTGCTAAGGTCAGATTAGACTTGGGGGCCACTGTCTTGTTGCTGCTTTTCTGTCCATTTCCATCAAGAGGTATGGAATGCCTGGTTTTCGCTAGAATGTTTGCAGCCACTCATGACTAAGTCTCAGTCATTTCTTACAGGCTGTAAACAGTGGTATTCTCTATCTTCATAAATTAGAGTACTTCCATTCAGAGGACTCTTGCCATCAACCATTATTACCCTGAATAATGAGCTGGTTCTCTAGTATCCTTCCAAGGTGACTGGTGATTTTCATTTTAGTATCATAATGATGAACTGAAACATATTTGATACATTTAAACCTACTGTGTATCTTAGTCTTCTGGTGTTCAAGTTGCCTCACCTCTTCAAATTTGTTTCTGAGTTTTTAAGTTTTTATTTCTTTTGGGGTG